TTACATACATGCGTAATATATATATGCATATATATACATATATATATATATATATATATGTATATATATATATATATATATATTATGTTATATCACGCAGATAATATACATGCACATTTATATTTACATGGTTTATATTTCTATATTTATGTATATTCACAAATAGATTTCCTGTTTAAATATATAAAATCCTGTGTAAATATAAAAAGAGTACATGTACTTGAATACAATCTTATATGTTTGTATATTATAGGTATACAATAAAGATATACTGTTGTATCTCAGAATTGTATATATATATATATACGTGATTTGTTAGAGTATGTGCGTATACGTATTTACGCGCATGTTTTATCTCGAAAGTATTTGTATCTATTCTTAACCATGTCATAAATAGTTCACACCAATAGTAATTGTGATGTACATTTTAGAATTACTCTTGGAAACATAAGTCGGTCGGATAGTGGAAGGACATAATGGTGTATATCATGTCTGTGAGCTTGGATGTACTTATATTAATATCTAAGCGTATATGTATATGAATAGAATATGTATTTATAGAACCTATACAGGTGTATTCATGAATATATATTCTTTATATTTTACTTCTACACATACATTATAGTATATGTACGTGTATAGTATATTCACATTCTATCTGAGGTGGCAATATTGCTACTTTGAAAATTTGGTTTGACGCTTCGTTATCTCTTTCTGAACAAATATAAAATATACAGATAACGATGAACCGGTCCCGATCGTTGGAGCGTTTACTGGGATCTTTGCTAAACGCGCACTATCTTGGAAACAAAGTTACCCTGGCCTTTCACGTTGACGGGGGTATTGATTCCAACACCTTGCAGGTGTTAAGAAATTCTAACTGGCATTTTGGGAATGTCCATTTTACAGTGCGAAATCAAGATATGGGACTCATTGATATGGTTGTTTCCTGTTGATATCCAACGAACGTTCATGAGTACGCAGTCTTTTTAGAAGATGATATCGAGGTTTCCCCCTTCTGGTATATATGGGCGAAGCATAATGTTTTGAATGCAAGATACGATCCCACAGTCGATTCAACGGCGATAGTGGGGGTGAGCTTATACTCTCCTAAGATAAATGAATTGGTCCATCCACGGGTTCGGTATGATAGCGTTCAATATGTCGGTCGGCAAGCTCCAAAATTCCAACCATATCTTTCTCAAACTCCGTGTTCGTGGGGTGCTGTCTACTTTCCAGAAAATTGGGTGCAGTTTAAAACCTATATGAGGCAACGACTAAATCTAGACTTTGGCAAAGTGAAGGCTCATGTTGTACCGAATTCTAAAAGCAATTATTGGGGAGAGTCATAGAAGAAGTTTTTGATCGAATACATGTATATCCGAGGCTTTAGTATGGTTTATCCAAACTTTCATCAACAAACAAGTTTTTGCACAAATTATTTGGAGCCAGGAGCACACATAGGGAAGGCAAAAAAAAAAATCCAAGCTTAAGCACAGTGCGGAAGAATTCACAGTTCCTTTGATGCAAATTTTGAGGATTACGTAAGTCTACAAGGTGAACGCTTGCCTAGACTACGAGACATGCTGTGGCTCGATAATTTCAATGAAATGATATATGAGAGTACAGCAATAAGAAGGGGCCACGAGACTGACTTCGACACTTTCAAATGCGACGTGGAGGCTCAGCAGCGGGTAGCCATCATTGAATGGGAGTTAGTTTGTGCATTGGCGAAACGTTAGGGCTATCCGAAGGCTGTGATTATTGAATGTACCTATACTTTTGAAATTTAAAGATGTAATTAGTTTGAGAGGCTCTAGCAACAAATAGCAAATGAAAACATACAAAAGAGGGTCGGGCTTGATGACGTCTTCTGGCTACTTATCCAGCGCCATCGATTGACGGGAAGATTTCTCGGATTGTGTCTTATTGATTTTGTTTATCACCTTGTCGATGATATAAGCGCGAACAAGACCCATATAGTAATCAATGCACATATCTAAATAAAGCTGTCCATACAGCAATTAACCAACGAAAAATTCAATTGGTCAAGTCCTATAGAAGTATACATAAAAACACGCCATTTTGCGTTATTGATGGATAAGTGGTATATCAAGGGGGTTTATTTAAGCTTCTCGGTTACAATGTGTAGTGGGTGCCACAGCGCCACGCCGCGTTTCTGCAACACAGAATATACAAATTATTTACTAGACCACAGCTATGTATATATATATATATATATGAATTAGTTCTGTTTTATATTTATCTATCTACCTTTGATAGTCACTTTGGCAGAGCTTAATGCACAAGCCAAGCGCACGGGCAAAGCGCCGGCGTCGAGGGACGAGCAATCCTCATCACAACCAGCGAAGAAAAATGCAAGAGGAACAACTGGCACTGTGAAGTGTGTGGCTTCTAGCAGGAGAGCGAAGGAAGAAAGCTCGGATGATGACGACGACGAATGTATATGAACAACCCACTACTACAGCACAGCAGGGCTCGCTCGTGTCAGAAGTGTATTGTTTCTGGATTGATCGATAACCGAGTCCTGTTGATGGCCGTCCTTGGTATCGTACGATACGTCAGCATGAAAATGATCTGTATCGGTGTGCTGCTGAGTGCAAAGCAATCACTATGAATCTATCTAATTCTTGAACAGTGACTACTTGGGTGCAGGTAAAGTCTGTAATCTGTATCTACTGTGGTGTCTCTGTTATCTGTTGTCGTGTTTGTTTTCGTTTTGTATCATACAGAAGTATTAGCAGTTTCGCTCGAGAGATCGTTGGTCGGACGATACCTGCCGAAGGGATTGAGTGGTGTTTTCTGCATGAATGTCATAGGTATCTCGCCTCGATCATGACTCATTTCTGACACAATTACTGTTGTCTTTTACAAATGTCCAGTGAAGTACAAGGCCAGACACACGACAAGGCGGTTGAGGTTCATGAATGGGGAACTCAACGAAGAGGATAAGGTAAGTACGGCCACTAGCAGAGACTTCGCCATCGCTCCGTGTAGTTAATACATGCGTGTGCTGCGAGAATTAGTTTGTTGTGGATTCTGTGTTCTACCGTTCTGAGTAGACTCGTATGCTATTATTATGAATCACCAGATGTGCAGCCGCATAGAGCTGTAGTATCTAAACTACATTGAACAGCTCAATCTATCTACTGCATGGCCAGACGTCCGCGTGCGTTGTCGGCTATCGTTGGACTACATGATTATGGCTATATGTAGAATTAGAATAGCCTGAAAGACGTGGTCATGGAGGAATATCACAATACTCGATATTTCTTTATATCGCTTGATAACATATCCTTGCCTGACAACCTGTTATTGACAGGCTGAGAATGAGAATCCACTGCCTGGCTTTCTGGATGGGATCACATTGAGCGAAGTGGTAATGCCTGCTATGTCACCATCGGGACATGTTCTCAGCTATGACTGGCTGAGAATTTATGTGCGACCTTCGGTGCAAGAAGGATATATGTGCTTAATCGTGTACCAACACTACTATGCATGCTTGATTGTGTATCACCTAGACCATGTATAATTTGAGTATCTACTTTGTCATAAGATGAAGCGGTGATCGTGAGCGTGTTTAGGTCTAAGGTACAGGCTCAAATTACCCCTGTCCATGTGCGTATTTCTCACGGCATAAAACTTATCGAGGGTACGTGAGACTGATTGGGATATTCTGTTTATCGCAGTGATAACCAAGAATTTCTATCAATATACACCGCTTTCTGAATGTGGCTTACAGCGCACTTGCAAAGAAGCTGAATAGCCAGCGATTCTCACCGCCTAGCTGACCAGTTTTATATCCACAACACCCCGTCACTCACAGCTACTCGAGTTGGCTCCAGTGTCTGGAGTGCAACTCAACATGCCCAATGACGGGAGCCCATATAGAGTAACGCGACCTCGTCATACTTACGCCCCAGAATATTGAGGAGTATCGAAACATAATCATCTATCCGGAGTGAGCAGTTCAAATAAAAAGGTCATATTATTAAATCAGATGGATACCGGTGTGAAGGTGTAGTGTACTTTTGATAGGGACAGTATTATCAGTAGTTACAATCTCTAAAGTGCAGTACATTGCTCAACGTGTTCGATGACGGGCGCCCACATATATCACGACATGCTCATACGGACACCACAGAATATTGAGAAATACCGAGGAAGGATCATTCCCGTGTTTGGAGCGAGCAATAGCTTGATTAACCAATGCATTTGTCGACCTTCACATGCAGCAGAACAAGGCAATGAATTTGTCCTATCTTTTTGTGCAGCAAAATAGTGCGCACGAGAACACGTGAGATACGTGTCGGAATGATAAGATATCGTGATTATTCGAGGAATGTTTTGGAAATTGTAGCAAAAGTGTATTCTCTTCGTTTTAGTAGTTTTCTTTTGCTGCATAGTGCAATGTTATGAAACTCGACGTGATTATGTCGTACTCCACGATTCGGTCGTGGGAGTCCAGGCATCCAGTTAAACTCGCGCTTTTGTCAGCGAGAACTTGCCGCAAGCAGAAATGCTGATACATTCTAAACTGTCGTTATAAACTTTGGTCACAATCTTCGTTTGCACAGTATTTTGAAGTTTACAGATGTGCACACGGAAGGACTTGTATGTTGTCATCATGAAATGTGCCACACAATCACACAAGGGACTCTTCTGGCGCCACACTTTACTTTTTTTAGTGATATTAATATGTTTATCAAGCTTGAAAAGAGTTTTTGCAATTAACTTCTCAATGATGTGGTCACGTACAAGGATCCTTCTTATGCGAGAACATGTACTTTATTGAGCTATGGTAGAGGCGTGAAGCCACCAAAGTCTATTCGCTTCAATGTTGAAGAAGAAGTGATTTTAGGTTGTCTCTGAAAGCAGATAGGTTGCAGTTTGATTTTCATTTAATAAACAACTCGATTTCACACGCTCAACGAATAACCACAAGGATCGCCGCACATGCGTACGACCATGCCTGCATATGGCACGCAGTAGATAGAGCTTCTGGTCTCACTTCGCATGCTGTTCAGTCCACGCCACTGCCTGCGCATCATGGAGTTCGCGATTGGTTCGCCACAGATGCGCAATCTCAGGTTCCAAAGGATCGTCTGCGTTGAATGCACGCATAAAATAGATGGCGTTTTATGAACACAGATATCATATTAGTGCTAGGCTGTACGCTCTAAGGCTATCGATACTAGAAACTGGAGTAGCGTAAAGTAAGGCGAACCTTGGGCTGAAGTGAGAGCACGTGTTTAAAGTAAACAGTCATTAGCACTGCGCGAGACTACCGCTGGCTGTCGATGGACATATGGCTCTGATTACGATACAGATACGCCTCTAAAATGCAATAAGACATGCACGTGGATATTGCTGTGGCACTAGAGAACACGGTAATCACATAGTAGGCGGGAACAACATATCTGATAAGACAGTTAAAGTGCTAAAACGAAACGAGAGATGCCAGATCATTCGGCTGAATAAAGACACCACCACGTCCGCGCAGGTGTTGCAACTACACCGACATTGATGCATACCTGGATTCGGACATTCCAGTAAAACTCCGATAGATAGCAAAATCTTGGACACCGTGAGGAAAGGATTCCACTTGTCCTGTGATGAAGAACCGATTGGGAATTAATGACCACGCACATGGTCGAAGATTATCAACAGTATCGGGATAGGACAGGTGTGCGATTTAGCTAGACCGATGCCATAGGAGTCGAATACACGTTTGTATAAGCGTTTCTGGCAAATGCTCTTGATGACAAGCCCAGCATCGCATTTTCCTCACAGGGGTCCAGTTCCATGTTGCGTGCTACAATTTATTCTTCTATGAAGAGACTACCATGTAAATAGAAGTGTACAATGTACAACTAACAATATTTAGGGTTTGTAGGGTTCGGTTACAATAGACCAATGAACTGTAAATTAAACATGGCCCATATGATTGGTTGAGAAGCAAAACTTTTAAAGAATATAAAATATGTATTTATATAGGCTCAAGCCTCAAGGCTGTGTAGATATCGCCGACAACAGTCATCACACCCGTAAGTCCGTAACCCAGTGATATTTATACCCTACTACGCATAAAGCAACAGAATTGTACTAGTTAGGAGGCTATGACAGAATGGTGTAGAAACGTTCAACCCGTTATGAGGCTGCGGACAGGCAACTGCAATTTCTAATATAATTTGCAAAATGTACGAGGGCGCTTTAAACATTATAATAATGTTCCAGACTTTATAAAAACTGCAGTCTGCGGGTGACAACTCATAGAGTCAGAGGTGTGCAAATTGAAACTACAAGGTCCGAAAGAGGCAAAAATAGGCACAAGTCATAAAACAGCGTACCTTCAGTATGTCCAGGCAAATTTCTCCTTTGGCCGAGATGTTGCAGTGGAAAATCCTGGTCATGAACGTAACCTGAATGATGGTTGCATGCAAAGCGTCAGGGCTACACGGTGTAGACACGATCCCAACACTTTCGCTTGGCGTTCCACACATAGTTACGGAATTAGAATGCAAGCAAACTATGACACACTAGACTAAAGTCAGCGAAATACACAACAGGGCTCTAGCTTAATCAAAAACTTGCACCCAGGAACCTACCGTCCGCTTACACTACCTTAGGGGGCACGAACGGGTGCCTGTCACTGAAGCTGAGCTTTAAAATGAAGACGCCGCCTTCGTAGGGTGTGCCATCCGGGCCCACAATTGTCGCCCGCCACTCCATTAAATTATCATTGATGAATGAAGCGCTGACAATATGGGTGTGATTTTAGAGCAACAAGGTTAATGCTGTCTGCAGAACAAACCACAGCACCATGTACAAAAGTAACAATCGAAAGTGAAGTGCAACAACCCTCAAAAACAAAAAACAAAAAGGTAAACGAAGCACAAGCCTTACGTGCAGTTTTTGGGCGGCTCAATAGTAATTTGTAACATCTCTTTGTTTAGTCTGTAATAAAGGCAGTGAAGCATGTTAGTTGGTATTGGAACACCACATACATACGTATATGCGACGAACAATGCACAAGCTGTGAGCAGTGTACTTGAACGTACGCAGTAGAGCTTTCGCCAAGGCCACTACATAATACAGGAAACAGGGAAACAGAATTGACGAAATGTTCATTGGTCAAGTTCACTGCGAGGACTATCGGCAACCGTGCAGGCGAATCTACTGGGGTGCAAAATAACAGTAGACAAGTATTCGCAAAATAACCAGACCTATTTCTCCATGGCAATTCGCACACTAAGAGTGTAGTGTCTATATGCAATCCCCTGTCAAAAATTATTCGGATATGCACGCTTCGTTCTTGGATATTGCATTCTTATATATATATATATAAGAAAATCATAAAGTACGAATTTACTGAATTATTGGAAGGTTGCCGTGCGCTGGCATGGCCCGTTAACTCCGCGTACAATATATACGCCTTTACCTGCATGAGGATGAACTTATAGCCTACAGTTAGACTGTCAATTCGACCATTATACATACGCGTTGGACAATTGTAATATTTATATATATACATATATATTCATGTATACATGTGTATAAGTATGTTTAAAAGTATACTAAAAATCAAACTCAGGACACCCAGTTGGATGAACGCATAAAAATACGAGTATAGTCCATTACATATAGTTGAACTATGTATATACATATTATATATTACTTGTACATAGATTTTGTTCGCGTATGTCTGCACATCCAAATTCTATATATCTTTCGAATACATCTATACATATAAAAAGCATGTATATAAGTACTTTCAAAAAGTGCAACTTTTATAACTAACCAGGGGCTAACTTGTACAAATACACAGGTGAAGTCCGGATACGAACATTCGAAATACACAAGGCACATTTAACAGCCAACTCTAATCTATGTAGGAAGCTATTTGAATTTGGGCATAAGTGCATGTTATGATATTAAATATTTAAACTCAATCAGTTCCCGAGAACAATCGAACGCAGCGCCCTGATCGTACAGGTAAGACCCACCTGGCCAAAGTAACAGCTTTCACGTTAGAAACATCACTCTTAGTCGTTGTTGTGCGAGACTTAGAGGACTTAGACTTCGGCATAGCGTAACAGCAAAGGTGACCTCTGGTTGCGGATAGGTTTCTGGGCTATATAGGGTTAGCAATGTATTCCTGATTAGATGGAATAGAAGGAAGTGATAAGCTCGTGTGTAATTGTAGAAGGACTGGTGAATGGTGGTAATTACGCACAAGAGGTAGTTAAATAAACTTGGTATTCATATGTAAAGAATAGCGACGTGATGTGAGAATATAAATAACGTACTTCAAAGCACCCCCAGACCCAGGCCCCAGCACCAGCCTTATTTTAGATTTTACAACAAACCCAAATAAATAAAAACAAAACGTAACTTTCTTGTCTTTTTTAGAGGCTACAATGAACAAAAAACCAAAAAATTACAACATCATCCTTCAAGGGGGATCGTTTTTTTTCAGAGAGAGCCCCGTCGTCCATCTCCTCCAGAGGATCACAGAGGGTCAATAAAATCTGTCTCTATGTATTTAATCATTAATGTCGCAAATGTGGAAACTCGAGCTGTATGCTACGGGGGAGTGGTGACCGGGGACTGTGAGTGGTGACTGGTGAGTGGTGAGTTTGGACTTCATTGTTTTCAGTTTCCAGTTTTCAGTTTTCAGAGGGAAGGCGGCAAAAACAGCCAATAGGAGACTAGACTCCAGACTCTTCCAGAATTCAGAGTCAAGTCTCCAGTCATCAGACCGGGCCACCGGCCCACTGCCCTCTGCCCACTGCCCTCTGCCCACTGCACGACAAGTCAACAAGAAGTCTGCATAATATTTACATCTGCAACGCTCGAACGCTCGCGCGAGTCGCGGATGCATCCATCCAAATTTCACCCCCCCAGTCCCCAGTCACTTTTCTTCGACATAACTTTTGTCTTCCATCCAATGCGTATAGGGAATAATATCTACCATTCTCATACGCACGACTGCACACACTTGTAGAAAGCCAGTTAATCATAGTCGCACAAGCCTTCACCTCGCAATAGAAGAAAATGACTACCGCCAACAATTCAGGATCAGCTCAAAAGCCACTCAGCGAGAGCTCAGCGACCGGAAGGGTCGATGAATTTTCAACGGTGTGTATGCGTGTACGTTCAAGTCGTTGTCATAGATTTCTGATCTGGATTGTGCTCCAACAGCTTTTGTCGTTGTGATGACCAGTGTGTGCGCTTCTATATATCACATTAGAGTTTTATTGTCAAAGTATACCCTACATTGACCAAAAACACCTTCCTGTGCACATCACATGGTTCTATCAATCTACATTGTAGCGTAGCCAGGGTGTGCAGTGTATCTCCTGGTCTATGCCTCTTCTTCTCTGTCCACCGGGTGACAGTTAAGACTAATCACCTGTTGGATACTTTGACTTTTTTTTCTCGCTCGCGGTCTTCAAAACTAACGCCCGCTACAGTGCACAAACAGCTGAATCACGCACTTAAAATTGCAATATACTATGAATAATAGAGCCCAAGATAACGTAAGGGAAGTGGTTTCCTCGTTGTCTACAACGGATGCGACATACATTCAATCTTCAGTTGAACAGCCGAAGTGTAGTAAAGATTTGTGTGCGGTTCACTATTTCTGGTCAGTTGATCAGCTGGTTCCAGCACTGTTTTGCGCGTCTATAAGAACATGAAATAATCTTCGCCACAACGCATACGAACAGACCCAATTCGGGGATAAAGGTAAAGAGAAGGCGAAAGTAGGAGACTTGGAGGAGGAGGAAAGAAAAACCCTTCTGGGGCAATTCTGTATCGACGAAAGGTAGGACAAACTAAGCATGTTCTCGTTCACATACTGTTTTTTTCTCTTGGTTCTGCTAATATTGCCGGAATATCTAATCGTATTGAATACAATGGGTCAACTGATCTGTGCACCAGTGTAATCGTTTTGTACAATAGAATGGACACTGTCAGAATTCCACCGTGGCAACTTCTAGTCCGGGAAGTGTGCACCGTGCGCCCACTCTAGCATACAAAGCCTGCTGCCTGGCATGCAAATGCACCATCCGCCCGCACACAATGTGTACACCGCACTTTCTGCTCACACACAAAAATGTCTCACCGTCCTACAGTGTGGCAACCGTGGGTCGCAATCTGCTGCGAGACGACTTGCTCCCAGAAGAGCTGTCATCTGCACAGCTCTTGCAGCAGAACAACAGGCAGAAGGTGCGTACCTGTCTCTTATTGAAGGTTTCAAAGTATCTCACTCCCGCGACGACACACTTGCATACAGCCATGTACTACGGCCCGAACACATTCAATTGTTATTGAACCATTCGTTATGCTATCATCCTATTTGTGTGGTGCCGGCTATCAACTGTGCAAATTGCCCAATTTATCTCGAAACCCAACCTATCGCAGCGTGGTGAGGTTCTCACAACATTAGACTGACTGTGCCGCTTGTTAACATCCAGATGCAAAATCTTCTGAAGGCACGAGAGAAGAAGAGGATCAGATGGGTCCAAGACTTATTTCCAGAGATGACGGAAGAGGAGGTCATGATCGGCTTAATCGATTGTGGCGACGATGAGGTGCGTACATCACTATGTAGCACGCGGGTGCGGTTTGCTTGTATTCTTCCGACCAAGCGATTACTATGCGTTGTATATAAGCAACTGTGTGTTCTGTGCCGTTTTTACGATGTCCGAACTATGAATTTAGGTTCAGTAAGGATAATGCACTTCTTTCTTACCAGGGTATGATTATTATATATATATATATATATATATACCAATCAGTAATCTGGGCTTGTATATGCAGTACATTTGCATCTTGTTGGTTTGTTTCATGATTTTACATGGTGGCTCCAGTACTCCGTAAAAGATTACAACACTGCCAGAATGATATCCCAAACCCCAAAACCTGTTGTAGCAGAAGGCACAGACTGGCACGCCTATTCGAATACACTACAGTTTTGTTGTGTGCGAAGATCTCGCCCTCTAGTCTGCTTGCGAACTCCATCTAAAGTGTTGGAACAATATGAGACGAGTTGACAATGTGGCAGAGTACGTATGCTTCTCCTATAGAAACATACCTGCTATTCATAGGCGACTGTGGCGTATCTTTGTCGGTGTCGTGTGTGTCTATTGTCAGCTGTGCTTGTCTGGTACGTTGACTGCGCTGTTTAGTAGCTCGTGGCCGCGTGCCTCTGCTTGATCCATTGCCATGTGTGTAGTAGCTCTTTCCGTTTCTAGTTAATTCGTAGTCTGACACCGCCATCCGTCCTGCCTGCAGCAATTATTGGCGGACAGTATGTCCGTGGCAGACTCGGAGTTCTACACGAATATCCGGAGTCGGATTGCCTGCTCATCAGGCGAATCAACCCGGGAGAGCGCGCCGAAACCAAAGGCAAAGGCAAAAGGTTTGACATAAACACAAGTTGTGATATCCTCGAGACTTTTAACCATAACGAATAACCGGGTTTATTTCCCCATAGTCGAAGGGGTAGACGCGTGATGTGGCGTGTGATTGTTTTCTGACACTTTCTGGTGGACTGAAACGTTGGGAGTAGACGTACAAAGTCCAAACGAATAGTCCGTGTCCGTCCAACAGAAGTTATTCATTTTTATATTTATCGTTCATCAGTAAGGTATATACATACACCACCGCATGTGACTGTGATCATCGAGTATCATAGTCTTGTTCTGGGAAGCCGGTCCAGCTGTATGCTTGAGTGTATTGCGATGTAGACACACTAACAATTATCTGTGAGCACGATAGGCGAACAATCCTTCCAATCTAATCGCAACAATTCGTCGAAATTGTTTCCCATCGACAGCTGCGAAGAAGCCTCAGAAGAAGAGCCAAGGGTAAGTTGTTAGCTGTCGAGCTATTACAAAATATGTCAGTTGTAAATCGCAGAGCATTGATGAGTTATGAGATGGTCTGTAACTGACAACGTGTTCTGCACATGAACGTTCACTTCAATGTCTGTTCGAGTGTCTGTTGCTGATTATTTGTTGTATTGTACACTTACTATATTGTTGTTCAGGTGTCTGTTCCTGATTATTGGTGTATTGTACACTTACAATATTGTTGTTCGGGTGTCTGTTGCTGATTATTGTTGTATTGTACACCTACTACATTGTTGTTCAGGTGTCTATTCCTGATTATGGGTGTATTGTACACTTACTGGTGTCTGTTCCTGATTATTGTTGTATTGTACACTTACTATATTGGTCTGTTCCTGATTATTGTTGTATTGTACACTTACTATATTGTTGTTTGGATGTCTGTTGCTGATTATTGTTGTGCTATACACTTACTATATTGTTGTTCGGCTGTCTGTTGCTGATTATTGGTGTATTGTACACTTACTATATTGTTGTTTGGGTGCCTGTTGCTGATTATCCTTGTATTGTATACCCATCATAATGTTGCATTTGATACCAACTCAATCTCATGTCTGTCATTTTCTGCTTACTGGGCGGCTTATCACTTTCTTTGTATTGCTAGCAATTCTGCGTGTACCTTTACTGTGGATATCACACGCACTGTCGTTTGAATTACTCTGACGTTGGAAGAAGCATCCGATTACCCCTATTACTGTCTTGTGGATCCTTCTTAGTGTGTCTCATTTTTATATCTATGCATTCTACGTAACAGCCGAAATACTAGTACTAAGCACAGCGGGATGGAAACAAGCACGCAGCTAGATATAACGAAAATGTCGAAAGTACAGAGGAAAGCTTACGGGGTATGACGTTGTGTTGTGTGGGGTATCCAGTGAGTTCTTGGGAGTGCCATTTAAGATGCAGACAAGTCCTTTGCAGTTACTCTACCCAATTTACAGGTATACGATGGTGCACGTGTAATTTCTATATTCCCACCCACTGCTGCTCCCTGACACGTGGAAAGCGTGTGTGATCTTGTTGTGACTGTCGCAAGAGCTCTATGGCACAGAACTGGTTTTTCTTTGGCGAATGTGCATCTTTTGGTGCGAGTCGTGAGTGTACCGGGTCATATTCTACAGCAGACACATCCGGTGACCTGCTGTAGAGACGGCCCTCACTCCTTCATTTTACTCTTCAACCTGACACGCCAACTGGATCGATTGTTAACTGTACAATGTTGCTATCTCACGCCAATCACCGCTGTAATCGTCACAGAAATTTCATGAAAACCCTAACGAGTACTACTACCGGTTTAATGCGCCCGGTGAAGCATCTAGACTTGATGAATGGAAAGAGCATGAAAAGGCACTTTTTCTGAAGAGGTTGGAGGAGCGTGGTTCTGAGGGGCAATGGGGCGAGTTCAGCAAGGTCATCCCGGGTCGAGTGGGCTATCAGGTAAGTGCCTAACCCGCGGACGTGTCATATCGAGAAAGACATTGTCACATTGTGTATCATCTGAAGCAGTTAACTTTAGTCGAAGCAGTTGTGTTGTTAGACTGAAATTCAGGCGGTTGTACACTATGGGTGCTCTTGGTCGCTAACCACATTTGTGTACGGAAGAGTTTTGATTGGCAGAGGCATGTTAAGTTTAGGTCTACTTTCAAGAGTGCATTGCAATTAATGGCAGGAAAATTCGTCATTCGGTAACACATGCGAACTATTTCGCAACACCTTGTGTGCTCGCCTTTCTATAAACTCATCAACTCAGCGAATTGGTGTCTGGAATAGTTGTAGTGCGGAGATTCTGACTACAACGGTTGTTTCTATTTCCACATGGACAAAGTGCTCCAATTTCTACAGGTCTCTGTTGAAGAAAAAGGAGCTGGTAGATCCCCGGTATTACCTCAATGAGAAAGGTGAACCAAAGCTTGTGAAGAACAGGGAACGACATGGTATGTTGGGCATGGTATTTGTATTTTATGGTTTTTAATCACCTTGACGATGATACCGGCGCAAACAAGACCCATATAGTAGTTAATGCACATATCTAGGTATCAGTAATCAACCAATGAAATATTAAATTGGTCAGGTCCGATAGAATTATACATAAAAACATACCAATTTGCGTTATTGATGGATAAGTGGCATATCATGGGGGTTTATGTAAGTTTCTCGGTTACAATGTGTAGTGCGTGCCACAGTGGCACGCCGCGTTTCTGAAACGCGTTTAAATTATACATATATAAAGAAATGAAACGCATTTGATGATCCGAATTGACTTCTATTGTGCTACACTTCGAGTCGGAAATCAGTTACATAGGTAGATGCTCTGAGTATAGTGAGTACATTCGTTTGCACTTGCTACACCACTTGTTATGCTACGATTATATATGTCTTCATGGATATGTATCTTTACGAGTGGGTAACCATATATTTACCAGACCACAGATATATATATATATATTAGTTCTGTTTTTATTTATCTATCAACCTTTGATGATCATTTTGGCAGAGCTTAATGTACAAGCCAAGCGCACGGGCAAAGCGCCGGTATTGAGGGACGAGCAGTCCTCATCACAACCAGCGAAGAAAAAGGCAAGAGGAACATCTGGCACTGTGAAGCGTGTGGGTTCTAGTAGGAGAGCGAAGACAGAAAGCTCGGATGATGACGACGACGAAGGTATACGAACAACCCACTACTACAGCAGAGCTCACTCGTGTCAGAAGTGTATTTTTTTTCTGGAATGATCGATAATTGAGTTCTGTTAGTGGTTATCCTTGGTATCGTACGATACGTCTGCATTATTGGTGTGCCGCTGAGTACACACCAAAAATTATGAATTTATCTACTTCTTGAACAGTGACTACTTGAGGTGAAGTCTGTAATCTGTATCTACTGCGGTGTCCCGGCTCTCTGTGGTCGTGTTTGTTTTCGTTTTGCATCATATGAATATCATATAGAAGTATTAGCAGTTTAGCTCGAGATATCGTTTTCTGGCTATACCTGCCCTCGATCATGACTCATTTCTGACACGATTGCTGTTGTCTCGTGCTAATGTCTAGCGGAGTACAAGGCCAGACACACGACAAGGCGGTTGAGGTTCATGAATGGGGAACTCAACGAGGAGGATAAGGTAAGTACGGCCACTATTTGAGACTTCGCCATTGCTTCATGTCTCAGATTTATAGTTAATACATGCGCGTGCGGCGAGAATTGGTTTGTTGTGGATTCTGTGCTCTATCGTTCTGGGTAGACTCGTATCCTATTATTGTGAATCACTAGATGTGCAGCCGCGCAGAGCTGTAGTATCTGAACTACAGTGAACAGCTCAACCCATCCACTATATGGCCAGACGTCCGCGTGCGTTGTCGGCAATCGTCGGACTACTTGATTATGGCTATTTATGGAATTAGAATAGCCTGAAAGCCAAGGCCATGGAAGAATATTACAATACACAATACTTCTTTGTATCGCTTGATAACCTATCCTTTCTATTTCTGACAGGCTGAGAATGAGAATCCACTGCCTGGCTTTCTGGATGGGATCACATTGAGCGAAGTGGTAATGCCTGCTATGTCACCATCGGGACATGTTCTCAGGTGTGACTGGCTGAGTATTTATGTGCGATCTTCGATGCAAGAAGGATCTATGTGCTCAATTGTGTACCAACACTACTATGTATGCTTGATAATGTATCAGCTATACTATATATAATTTGAAGTCATACGATGAAGCGGTGATAGTGAGCGTGTTTAGGTCTACGATACAAGTTCTAACTAACCATGTGTATGTGCGTATTCTCACTGCATAAGCTTATGGAAGGTACGTGAGTGATAACCCAGGATTTCTATTAATATACACCGCTTATTAATTGTAGCGATAGCGCACTTGCAGAGAAGCTGAATAGCCAGCGATAGCGCACTTGCAGAGAAGCTGCATATCCAGCGATTCTCACCGCCTAGCTGACCAGTTTTATATCCACAACACCCCGTCACTCACAGCTACTCGAGTTGGCTCCAATGCCTGGAGTGCAACTCAACATGCCCAATGACGGGAGCCCATATAGAGCAGCGGGACCTCGTCATACTGACGCCCCAGAATATTGAGGAGTATCGAAACAGAATCATCTATCCGGAGTGAGCAGTCCAAATAACAAGGTCATACTATTAAATCAGATAGATAACGGTGTGAAGGTGTAGTGTACTTTTGATAGGGACAGGATTATCAAGCGATTTTAGTTCCAATCTCTAAAGTGCAGCTCATTGCTCAACGTGTTCGATGACGGGCGCCCACATATATCACGACATGCTCATACGGACACCACAGAATATTGAGAAACACCGAGGAAGGATCATTCCCGTGTTTGGAGCGAGCAATAACTTGATTAACCAATGCATTTGTCGACCTTCACGTGCAGCAGAACAAGGCAATGATTTTGTCCTATCTTTTTGTGCAGCAAAATAGAGCGCACGAGAACACGTGAGATACGTGTCGGAATGATAAGATATCGTGATTATTCGAGGAATGTTTTGGAAATTGTAGCAAAAGTGTATTCTTTTGCTGCTTAGTGCAATGTTATGGTGATTATGTCGTACTCCACGATTCGGTCGTGGGAGTCCAGGCATCCAGTTAAACTCGCGCTTTTGTCAGCGAGAACTTGCCGCAAGCAGAAATGCTGATACATTCTAAACGTGTCGTTATAAACTTTGGTCACAATCTTCGTTTGCACAGTATTTTGAAGTTTACAGATGTGTACACGGAAGGACTTGTATGTTGTCATCATGAAATGTACCACACAATCACACAAGGGACTCTTCTGGCGCCACACTTTACTTTTTTTAGTGATATTAATATGTTTATCAAGCTTGAAAAGAGTTTTTGCAATTAACTTCTCAATGAGGTGGTCACGTACAAAGATCCTTCTTATGTGCGAACATGTACTTTATTGAGCTATGGTAGAGGCGTGAAGCCACCAAAGTCTATTCGCTTCAATGTTGAAGAAGAAGTGATTTTAGGTTGTCTCTGAAAGCAAATAGGTTGCAGTTTGATTTTGATTTAATAAACAACTCGATTTCACACGCTCAACGAATAACCACAAGGATCGCCGCACATGCGTACGACCATGCCTGCATATGGCACGCAGTAGATAGAGCTTCTGGTCTCACTTCGCATGCTGTTCAGTCCACGCCACTGCCTGCGCCAGGTTTTTAGGGTTTTAGGGTTTAGGTATCTTTATTTGTTTACACGCTAG